CCTTCCCATAGGGGGCAGACTAGCAGGGTTTGCTCCCCAGTGGGAAGAGACCACCACGGACGTATGGGTCAGGAACACCATACGTCATGGTCTATCTCTAGAATTTCTCTCAAAGCCCCCGAACCGCTTCCGCCCGTGCCCCTGTCCCACAAACCCAACAAAGAGAAGGCTCATGAACGAGGCCGTTCAGCACCTTCTAAACATACGGGCCGTAGAGCCGGTGCCTATGAACCAGAGAGACCAGGGGTTTTATTCTATCCTCTTCGCGGTCCCAAAACCCTCAGGGGGTTGGAGAGCCGTTTTGGATTTGAAAAGGCTAAATTTCTACATAAAATACCGCAAATTCAAAATGCAGACACTACGCTCCATCCTTGGAAGCGTAAGGAAAGGGGATTTTCTGGCATCGATCGACCTCACGGAGGCATACTTGCACATCCCTATCTCTCTGGCTCACCGCCGCTTTCTACGGTTTGCCTACAGGGGGCACCATTTTCAATACAGGGCACTTCCATTCGGCCTGTCATCAGCGCCCAGGGTGTTCACCAAGATTCTGGCGGTTCTGGCAGCACAACTAAGAAACGTACCAGTCAGAGTCCAGTGCTACCTGGACGATATTCTAATCCAGTCATCGTCCGCCCAGCAGTCTCGGGCGGACCTAAAGTTAGTGATAAAAATGCTGCAGGACCACGGCTTCTCGGTGAACTTTCCAAAGAGCCATCTAACCCCAACTACGAGAATACTCCACCTGGGAGCGGTCATAGACACAAAGGAATGCAAGGTGTACCTATCACAGGAACGCCTCAGCAGCATAAAGAAAGCCGTAAAACAGGTAAGCCGCGTTCAGTCAGTGACGCTGGTCTGCCTCTCCCAGCTGCTAGGGAAGATGATATCGACCATAGCAATAGTTCCTTGGGCAAGGCTGCACTCAAGAGAACTGCAATGGTTCATGCTCCCGTTTCAGAGACAACAAATCAGTGCATCCCGGAAGAGGGTAGGCATACCTCTGAGAGTACGACACTCCCTCAGGTGGTGGCTATCTCCAGCTCTCCTCAGGGGGTCCCCCTTCAGGGAACCAGACAGAGTAGTAGTCACAACAGATGCGAGCTTATTCGGCTGGGGAGGCCACTTGGGGACCAAGTGGACACAGGGCCGCTGGTCAGCGGTGGATCTCCGACACAACATAAACTGGCTCGAGCTGCGGGCTATTCACCTAGCGTTAAGGCATTTTCACAGCAGCATAAAAGGCAGGCACGTACTGGTCCTGACGGACAACGTGACAGCCAAGGCCCACATAAACCGTCAGGGGGGCACACACTCTCGCTCGCTCTCGGCCGAGGCCCTCCTACTGGGGGCCTGGGCGGAACAAAATCTGGCCTCCATAAAGGCCGACCACATATCGGGGGAGGCAAACATCCAAGCAGATCTGTTGAGCAGATCAACAATAGATCACTCGGAGTGGCAACTACACCCGAGGATCTTCAGGGAGGTCTGTCACCGCTTCGGGCTTCCCCAGGTGGACCTTTTTGCCTCTCCTTCCAATGCCCACCTAACTCGCTTCTTCTCCCGATTCCCATCCAAGGTAGCAGAGCAGACGGACGCGTTACGGAGCCCATGGCCAAGGGGGCTCCTGTACGCGTTTCCACCCTTACCTCTCCTTCCGGCTGTAGTACGCAAGATTCTGCGGGAAAGGGCCGAGGTAATCCTTGTGGCCCCTTATTGGCCAAGGAGACCTTGGTTCGCAGACTTGAGGAGTCTCTCCCGCACGAATCCATGGCGGATTCCTCCGGAGAGGATCTCCCTCAAGCAGGGGTAGATCTCCCACCCAGAGCCACAATGGCTACAACTAGCCGTCTGGCTCTTGAACGGTCAATTTTAGCCAAGGGGGCTTGCTCACAGGGTGTAATTAGGGTCATACAGGCATCAAGGCGCCCCTCCACGAACCGTATCTACGAGGCCACATGGAGAAGCTTCCAATCATGGTGCTCTAAACAGGACTTGTTACTCGAAGGGATCACAATTCCCAAGATCCTAGAATTTTTACTAGATGGCCTAGAGAGGGACCTCTCGCCAAAAACACTGCGCAGGCAAATCGCCGCCCTCTCAACTATACTTTCTGCCAGCCCCGGTGAATCCTTGGGCAAGCATCCCTTAATACGATCCTTCCTCAAGGGGGCTGCAAACATCAGACCGCCAACCGTGCACAGGTGTCCATCGTGGGAACTACCACGAGTACTACAAGCTCTTACCAGAGCGCCCTTCGAACCACTCAAAACATGTGACTTTCGCTATCTGACCCATAAGGTAGCATTCTTGGTAGCCATCACGTCAGCTCGGCGGATATCCGAGTTAGCTTCTCTCTCAATGAGGAAGGACCTGTGCCATTTTCACAGGGACAAGGTAGTCCTAAGAATAGACCATTCATTCCAAAGGTCAACTCCCTTTTTCACAGATCACAGGAAATAGTCCTACCAGACTTCTGTCCAAACCCAGCTCATCCCCTGGAGCAACAATGGCACACCTTGGACGTACGCAGGGCACTAAGACATTACATTTCACGCACAGCGGAATTCCGACGCTCGGACGCGCTTTTCATATCCTTCAACCCTGCTACTAGGGGCCGGAAGGTCTCGTCCTCTACCATCGGTAGGTGGATTAGGGCATGCATCACGGGGGCATACCAGGCGGAGTCCTTGCAAGTCCCCAAGCATATCACAGCCCATTCCACAAGGAGTGCTGCCACCTCAGCAGCATGGGCCATGCAGGCTTCTATTGAAGAGGTATGCAGGGCAGCCACTTGGGCCTCGCCCTCTCCATTCATTCGTCCTTACAAAATCGACAGGTACTCCTCTGCAGAGGCCTCCTTCGGTAGGAGGGTTCTCCAGCAGGTGCTAGACCAAAGTTGCACACGGGACCAGTCTATTCCCCAAACCAAGGGACAATAGGCTTTGGTATGTCCCACTGCGTGGATTATCCATCTCCAGTGCTGGAGAAGGGGCGTTGACTGACCTGAACGCCTTTTCTCAGCACGGAGATGGATAATCCACACCCACCCTTATAGACTAGAATAATAGGGTATATTTAGTGGAGCCAAAACGTCTTACTGTCAGTCAATGGATGCGCTCGAGTCAAGACTAAAGGATCATGGTCCAAGACGGGGCGTGGCAACTTTGGCTGACTGATCTGATTGGCCAGGAATACAGTCTCAACCCACTGCGTGGATTATCCATCTCCGTGCTGAGAAAAGGCGTTCAGGTAAGTCAACGCCCCTTTTAAAAACTTTTGTTATATTTTTAAGTGAAAAACTTTGGATAAGAGCCTTATGCCGATGCTTAGTATGATCATGCAAAGGCTTAAAATGGGGAGAGGATTTAGGCATGTAACAAACTTGTTCAAGTCATCTTTGTTCACATTTGCTTAATCCTTGACTTTCCCATAATGAAAAGAATAATCTGAAAGAGATTTTCAGTAGCATTTATTTAAACCAGTGGTTCTCAACCTTTTTAATGCCGCGACCCCCAACCGGTCGTAAGTCGAGGACTACTCAACTGGTCGTAAGTCGAGAACTACTCAACTGGTGCAGCACTGTTTGCAGAATGGGACTTTTGGCGGGCTCAGCAGGGCAGAGACAGCCTGGACAATTCCTATTGGCTTTTGAATGCCAATAGAATTAGACTCTATTCAAGAGAGTCTATTCTATTGGCTTTCAAAAGCCAATAGAATAAAAGGGAGTAGCCCAGCTAAGGAAAAGGGGGAAAAAATGGCGGACTGCGTTGTTTGGCGACCCCCGTGAAATGGTCGTTCGACCCCAACTGGGGTCCCGACTCACAGGTTGAGAACCACTGATTTAAACAGTGGTAGAAGAGTACATCTTACGAGGTTTTCAATTCCATTTTCAAGTGAACATGGTTTTTTGGTGTTTCTAAAATATTTTTGCTCTTAGATTATTTTTAGTATTGAACTTCATAGTTGCTTTCACAATGCTGAAATTCAGTATAGAGATTGGTCTTAAAAAGTAATTTGAGTGTTCTGTGTTTTTTTTACTGCTGTGTCTATAACAGCAACAACATTCTGACAATAATAGAAGATTTTGGATGTGGACTTGACCCACTTAGCAGAAATATGCTTGTGCTTTCTTAGACTTACTGCTGAATAAACATGTATGTGATTGCCTAGTTAAGAATTTATTTTACTTTTTTCAGAGTTCGTTTCAAAGTAAAATATGAATTTACAATGAATCATATTAATAATGCATAGAAGTACTTAGGATACATATAAGTCAGTTTTACTTTTGCATACATCTTCTCGAAATAAATGTGTTCTGTGATCACACACGTGATGAAACATTGAATTTTGCAAACCGTAAACTTGCGCAGGATATATCTTTGTAGCTATAAAATAGCAGCTTGTTTTAATTAAGACAGAAAAAGCACATTTTCAGAATGTAAATTCAGCATCTAAAGCAATACAATTATATGAAGACCTAGAAAACTAAAGATGTATTTTTACATTTCTAATATTAGATGCACACTCACACAGAAGCCAATGCCAATTGTTGCTATTTTGCAGTCTCATGAATTCTTTTTTAGGCTGTTAGCGTTTTATATTTAATAATTTCAATTGTCTTTTGTAAAAACAAAAACACAGCAAGCAAGGTCTTAGTCTACTGATTTTTATTTAAAGACACTTTCATTAAGTCTTTTGTAGCGATTTTAGGAAAAATAATGGGCATGCTGGCATACTGAATAATGATGATGATAATACTTGTAATAATATTTTGGGATTATTTTATTTCAGTGCTATTCAAACATGAATCTTTTGTGCTGTTCTTAATGACTATAGATAAGGATTTTGAACTAGTAGTGCTGCTTTTTATAAATCAATATTAAATTATGCCCAACTCCTTCCTTCCTTCCTTCCTTCCTTCCTTCCTTCCTTCCTTCCTTCCTTCCTTCCTTCCTTCCTTCCTTCCTTCCTTCCTTCCTTCCACTTTATCTTTGCAGGGTCATCTTGCATCTGTGGAAGCTTCAGAATGTAAACTTAAACCAATGCTAAGCTCCCTTCCAACTAGGGAGAATCATTTCCAGGCTTTGAGAGAAACCGCAGAATTTGATGTTCTTATCATAGGTGGAGGTGCAACAGGAAGTGGTTGTGCATTAGATGCTGTTACAAGAGGTAAGTGATTCATGGAAATATAGAAGTTGGTTGTTTTGTATCTAGGCATTCATATGTCCCAGAGTTAGGAATATGTTTTTACATTAAAAGTAGATTCGTTCTATCTAAATTCATTGCTTTTCCTTTTCCTTTTTTTCTATTTTTATTTTTATTGTATTTTTTTTCTGTATTGTATTGTATTTCTGTATTGTGTTTTTTTTACTGTAGTTCAGAGGTGTCAAACTCAATTTCATTGAGGGCCGCATTGGCATTGCGGTTGCCCTCAGGGCGGGTGTGTGTGGCCAAGATGGGTGCGGCCTACTGGTGGGCGTGGCCTACTGGGTGAGCATGGCCAGCTCTACATCGTTTGCATCAAGGGTGCCTGTGGGGGCCTGGGCAGGAGTGGGACAGATGTGAGGGTCTCTGGCAGAAAGGGGTGGGACCGGGCAAACGCCAAGGCATGGTCCATTTCTTCATTCCTCACAAAGGATGACACCTCCCCAGCATGCACCCAGGGGGCGGGGCCGACGCGGCAGGGGCTGGTTGCTCACTGTTTCTAGACAGCCTTGTGGAGCTAAGACTAAATGCGTTTCAGCATAGATGGCCACCACAAAATTGTACATTGGCTCCCGGCCCTCCTGGGCCAGGGCCAAGGCAGCGGGGGCCGTTCCCTCACGGTTTCCAGGATGGCTTCGCGGGCCACATGAAACCACTTCGCGGGCCGCATTCAGCCCCTGGGCCTTGTGTTTGACATATCTGCTGTAGTTGGTTTGTATTATTTACTGTAATTTTTTGATTGGTTCTTTTAAATTATATTTACAGGTTTGGGGATTTTTTTTATTCATAGTACAGTGTTTAAAAAGGATTAACAGAGCTCGGATTTAATTGCTACAGTTCCTTTATTATACAATGCCACAAGAGGTCTTCTCATATTCTATCTCTCACTTATACCTTTGTCGTTCAATCCAATATAATGCCTGTGACAGGCCTAAGGCATTTTAAAATGCTGTCTTGGATCATGATAGAGATAAGTTGCTAACATCACAGTTCCCAGTTCTGAAAACTTAAAGAGGCTCATGCCTTTTGATATTCCAGAAGCATAGTTTCTAAGCATGGAGAATTCAACAAAGTGCCTTTTGTTTAAAAGATGAAATGAATATAATTTGAGCATTTGAGATTATCTCTTTTGATTTGCAGGCTTTCTTCTATTCCGTTTGTTTTTAATGTCATTGTCCAATATATCCATCTCATCTTGGCTGTGTGGGCAGCCTGCGCGTTACGTTATGACCTATTTTTGGGGTGTTCCTTGCCAAGCCAGTTTGCCTTAAATCAGTGGTTCTCAACCTTTTTAATGCCGTGACCCCCAACTGGTCATAAGTCGAGGACTACTCGTAAGTTGAGGAGTACTCAACTGGTGCAGCACCGTTTGCAGACTGGGGCTTTTGGCGGGCTCAGCAGGGCAGAGACAGCCTGGACAATTCCTATTGGCTTTGGAAAGCCAATAGAATTAGACTCGATTCAAGAGAGTCTATTCTATTGGCTTTCAAAAGCCAATAGAATAAAAGGGAGTAGCACAGCTAAGGAAAAGTGAAAAAAATGGCGGACTGCATTGTTTGGCGACCCCCGTGAAATGGTCGTTCAACCCCAAATGGGGTCCCGACCCACAGGTTGAGAACCACTGCCTTAAATCCTAAAGAACTTCTGCCTTCCTAATTGTGAATTGTCTTTTCAAAATTGCCACAATTCCTAACTACCAAAACTTGCAGTACAGGTAGTCCTCAACTTAATGACCACAATTGAGCCCAAAATTTATGTTGCTAAGTGAGAAATTTAAGTGAGTTTGGTGTATTTTACGACCTTTCTTGCCACAGTGGTTAAGGGAATCACTGTAGTTCTTAAATTAGTAACACGGTTGTTAAGTGAATCTGGCTTCCCCATTGACTTTGCTTGTCAGAAGGTTGCAAAAGGGGATCACATGATCCCCCCCAGGGCACTGCAACCGTCATAAATGTGAATCAGTTGTCAAGCATCCAAATGTAAATCATGTGACCATGTGGATGCTGCAACGATCATAAGTATGAAAAATGGTCATAAGTCACCTTTTCAGTCTTGTAACTGAATGGTCACTAAATGAAGTGTTGAGGACTACCTTTATGTGTAATGATAATGGTGACATAATAAAGGTGGAAAATAACAAAGAAAAAAAATTTCCCATATTGAAAGAATAACTTGATAACTAGCCCTGGTTGGAAGAGCAGATGAGAAAGAATAGAAAAGTCATTTTTGAACGAGAAAAATTAAATCAGCTTTTGTCTTTAGATTATGGGATCTACTTCTGCTTCATTTAAACCTCAAGATCTGTCAACTAGTGGAAATATTATGGATGGGATATATAGAATCCAGAGTCCAGAGATTTATTTTGACTATCAAATATGAGGGACAATTTACGTTTTTTAAATCATTGGAATCGTATGTTTCATTAACCAAAGATGTAATGTGATTGAATTTGCTCAGTATGTGTGGAAAAATCAGTTGTGATGTACTTAGTAAACCATAGTTGAACAAAAATAGCTTAGTATGTTGTGGAAACATCAGGTAAGTTACATTCAGTAATCCTAAATTAGCAACATATATCTCAAAATAAAGAGGCTTAAACATTCTTAATATTCTGTTTGGATAATTTCAGTTTCATTGTTTCTGGCCAAATTTTGCTAGATTTATAAAGAGGAGTCAAGTTGGGAAGTATATGTGGTGAGATACCTTCTTTGGCAACTTCCTTATATTTGTTTTTCCTACCATGTAGTTTGTTGTGGGGATATGATGTTGGCTTCATAATCAAATAAAGCTTTTCAGTATTTAGGATTGGATCTAGCTGATGATAGAGCTATGTAGGAAAACTGAAACTGAAGCCAATCTCCATTTATCGTTTTGGTAGTACATTTGTTGATTTGTATCAGTAGCTTTCTGAAGTGTGAAATAATCATAGGCATTTGGTTAATGAATTGTATATTGTTGCTCTTCATTCACGGGATTTGCTCTCATATTAAGTTTGATGCTTCACTTAGCAAATTCTGCTTTCTTTGTCTTTGATACGTTCTTGCCAAATTATTCCTGATTGTATTCATTAATCTTCAGTCACATTTGACAAAAATAAATTGCTCTGATCTTCTAAAGTTACCAGGAATAATTAGTTTTTTTTTCTTAAGGACATGAAAGTTTAGGGGGACCAAGAGAGGCTAATGTGGCTGTTTGTACTGTAATAAAGCATAGCAGAATCTTTAAGGCAATGAAGGCTAAAGGAGAGCTCAGAGGACTGATAGTTCGCACTTCTTCCTTGGACATGCAAAATCATGTTACTCCTTCTTCCACATCCTCTGTTAAAATCTTGCAATACTTGCTTTCATTTTTCCTGTTTTCTTCCTTAAGTATGAAGGATTGCCACACGGGAAGTATATATATATATTGACAGTGGTTGTGACATTAGCATGGCTACTTTATTCAGTTTTGAAAATAACACTCGAACGAAGTTAGTTTGCATTAGATGGGATTTCCCCCCCTCCCCTTAAAAAGGAATTTCATTTTAAGTGTCCTGTAGGTGTTTATTTTTAACTGCATTTACTTTCATTATGATTATATTTTTACAAAACAATAGAAGGATCGGTGGGAAAAAAAATGTCTGAAAATTGGTAATGAGGTATGCAGTTCAAAGTCGGTCTCAAGATAGCGATTGTGCACTTGCACGCATTAGTTAGAGGAGATGTTATCAGTATTACATTACAGTTTTTCATTTAGCACAAAAATATGAATCAGTTACAACCTCCCCAAGGCCCATTAATCTTCCATCTGTCTCCTGTTCTGCTTTTATTATATTCTACCTGATGAAAAGTTCTGAAGAACTTGAAAGCTGGCACTCTTCTCTAGAGTTGGGTGGTTCTAATAAAGGTATTGCCCAATATTGATTTAAAAAAAAAAATTCTGTAGACCATTATGTTCATATATTGTTGTTCTGCTAAAAAAATATGCAAATTTAAAAGGACATTAATAATGCTAATCGTTTGATTATAATTTAATTACTTTGTTTAATTTGTTGCTCTCATGTGTACCAATATCAAGAGTTGGAAACTAATGTGATAACTACCTATGTCGGCCTGAATTCTTCTGTCCTGCATTAGCTTAATTTCATTTATCCTCACTCATCTAAAAATTTTAATTGTCCTTGTATATTAATGAGAAGGAGAAAGGTTTTATGTTACCCTCAAATTCCTTCTTCGGTCATTTTCATATCTTCAGTTTTTATACTTACGTCAAAATATTTCTCTGAAAAGGCTGCCAAAGAGATGACATTATGTACTTTGAATACAAATTTATCTATATTCAGAGCAATTTTTTTTCTTGTGATTGATTGTCTGTATCCTAGAGAAGGGTCTTTAATGAATTACATACAAATTGTGTAATTTAAGAAGTTAATTTGCTCTTCTGGTTATGCAGGCCTCAGCACAGCTCTTGTAGAAAGGGATGATTTTGCATCAGGGACTAGCAGCAGAAGTACTAAATTGATCCATGGCGGAGTGAGATATCTACAGAAGGCCATCATGAAGCTGGATTTTGATCAGGTAATGGTTTAGGATGGCTGTTGCAAAGCACAACAATATGTTGCTTGATCTAGTTAAATTGGTTCTCACACTTAATGACTTTCAACACACTATTTGCTTTCAATCGATTTAAACCTTGAGAATATATGCAGAAAAGGCATATACAGGAAAAATGCATAAGTAATTAAAAATTATGGGATGTTTTATGTTAGCATTTGGTCAAGTAATTGAAATGCAAAGTGTATGTTTTAGTAAACTGACACTTTGATAGCACTTTATTTATTAAATTTGGGTTCAAATTCTCACTATTTGAAAAAAAAAATCCTAAAACGTGTTATGGTACAAATTATTGTTTTGTAAACAAGTTGAGAAGCTTCCATATGTTTAAGACAATTATAATTTTTTTTAAAAAAAAACTGTAGTAACAGCACACCTTGCAATAATCTGTAGAAGTGTTTGTATTCTTTTCAAGCAGCGGGTGCCATTGTGTAAATTTGTGTGATGGTGCAATGGCCAAAAATGTAAATAAAAATGCTTGGAAGATTATCAAAACTGTCAAGATCTCATCATTTGCACCCTCAAAATTCTGTCTCATAAAGGCTATCTGATCTTGTGACAATTTTAAATTCTTTCCTTGGGAAAAAAACAACAACTTTGGGTTCTTAATGCCTGATTTACAGTGAATCTTAGTTTCCCTCTTCTCACTCTTACACTGAACTAGCCATTTTGTACTGCATTTCTCCATATTAAGACTAAATTCTGCAGGCAGAACATTTTTGGTAGCAACAATTGTTTCCTTGTCTTGATTCTAAGTCATTCGATTCCATTATATCGCATTTTGATTCTATAGTTGTTCCATACAAGGTAGCACATTGATTTTTATTGAATATGGAGATTACCGCCACTTGGGAAGGCAGAACATTTCTGTAGCTCCTGGAGATTTAAAAACGGAAACAGGGATGCCTCTGTGATGGTTTATTTTTTTTAATAGAAGAATAGAGTTGGAAGCCTCATTTAGGCCATTGAGTGCAACCTACCTGCTCAGTGCAGGAATTCAAATTAAAGCATTTCAGTTTAAAGCCTGCACTCTTCCAGTGAAGAGGAGCCCAGCACCTTTCTAGGTAATTAATTTCACTATCAAACTGTTCTTACTATTAGGGAGGGTTCCCCCCACCCTCCTATTCAATTAGAATCTCTCCTTTCTGTCTATGGAGATTCTCAGTCATCTAGGTCAGTCGTGGCGAACCTATGGCACGGGTGCCAGAGGCGGCACTCGGAGCCCTCTCTATGGGCACGCGTGCCGTCGCCCCAGTCCTAGGCCTTCAGCTGGGTTTTATAAAACCTTTTCGCTTTAGGCCTCCGCCGCCGTGTGCAAAAAAAAAAAAAGGTTCAATCAATCAGTCAATTTCAACTTCTCATGGGGAAAAAAAAGATCTTGCGAAGTTGGAATTGATTGATTGAACTTTTTAGTCCCACCCAGTCTGCTGTTACCACCGCAGCCATGCCCACCCAATGGGCCACACCCACCCAGCACCCGACGATGCATAAGTGGGTTTTGGGTTGCAGTTTGGGCACTTGGTCTCTAAAAGGTTCGCCATCTCTGATCTAGGTCATAGTTGTCCCAAAGGTGCTTTCCCAAAAGACAACTTTCTTGTTTTTTTTTTTCCCCTGTTGAAAACATTTCACTTCTCATTCAAAAAGCTTCAATTAGAAGAAGAATTCTCCTAAGTCTAATTATTAATTTATTAATGGTTAATGATTGATTCATTGATAAATAATAATTATTAATAGTTATTAATTAAGAAGATAAATTAAGAAGATTTATCCAAGAAGAATCATTCTTCTCCATAGATGAGAAGAAGAGTGTTCTTATCCAAGAAGTTTCTTCAGTTAAAAGCGTCTTAGATGAGAAGCAAAAGGCTTTCAAAGAAGTCCAGTTGCCTTTTGGAAAAACCCCTTTGGGCTTCCTTCCTCTCATTCAAACCCATTCTTCAGTGTCCCGCATTCTGGGGCAAGAGCGATTAAGTTTGCCCCCCCTTTTGAGTCAAATGCTTTCATGTACCATACTTTCCAGAGTATAAGACGACTTTTGAAAGCGTTGAAATCAGCGCTGAAGTCGGGGGTCGTCTTATACGCCGAGTGTCTTTTACTCTGGAAATAATGGTAGTTTCTGGCGTATAAGACGACTTTCTAGGCATGCGACTCGGCGCCAAAGTCGAGGGTCGTCTTATATGTCGGAAAATATGGTATTATATTCCTTCTCAGTTGTCTTTCCATACCTACCTCCTTTATTAGATATTAGATAACCTTTATTGACTTTTTTACTGTGGGCACAATGGCACACATTAAAAATGAAATTTAGTTGCTTGCTCTCAAAGTGTACACATACATAACAGACATTTAAGCATACTATATACAACATATGTATTTTTCTTCATAGGAGATCAGCTTTTTCAAATTTCTCTGAATTGTTCTGAAAGTTTAACAGCCAGACCTTAAGAACATACGGAAGCTGGGCTTGACCAGTTTACTTCCTGTAATGCATTCATTATACTTCCATTGATGGAACCTAAAATTTAATTTACCCCTTTTATAGCCGTAGCACAGTGATCCCTCAAATTCATGTGTAATTAACTTCTATTCCAGATCTGTTTTACACATGCTGTTTCCAACTTAGTCAGCTATCTTCCGCTAGCTGTTGGTCATATATGTAGCTCACGTTTTACTCAAGAACAAGTTTGAACGTGTGTATAATGTTGGGAAAATACTGTTCCTTAGAACACGGGTGTCAAACTTGTCATGTGATGTGTCATGACGTATCGCGACTCTTTTTGCATTGCCGGCAATGAGGTAGGCACGGCTTCGGTATGATGAAATCGGCCTGCAGGCCAGCAGTTTGACACCCCTGCCTTAGAATATGGATGTAATTAAACACTAGCGCAATGTGTAAAAAAATTTGCGGCAGTTGTGCTTTTTACTATTTCAGATTTTTTTAAAACTCAATACAGTTTTGAGTTCCAAACTGTTATTTTGAATTTTAATCAGTATTTATTTTAAGATCAGATAGCACTTTCTGGATGGACAAATGGCAAAATTCAAATTTACTTGAATTTGGTTGATTAATTCCAGATTTTCTGTTATTGATTAGACAGGTTTTTATGTTCTAGAGTAAAATAGAGCAATAATAATATGAAATCAATACTGAATTGTCTTTTTTTAAAAAACAATAATTAGTACATATCAATTTAGAAACTGCATAGACTGCTGTCGTTCATCCCCATAGAGCTAAGTAGTCCTAGACATACGACTGTTTGTTTAGTGACCGTTCGAAGTTAAAGTGGCATTGGAAAAAGTGACTTATGTCCGTTTTTTACACTTAACGACTGTTGCAGCATCAACAGTTGATCAAAATTCTGGCACTTGGCAACTGAACTCATACTTTTGACGGTTGCAGTGTTCCCAGGATCATAGGATCATCTTTTTGCGATTTTCCTGATAAGCAAAATCAGTGAATCCAGATTCACTTAACAGCCATGTTACTAACTTAACACCTGCAGTGATTCACTTAACAACTGTGGCGAGAAAGGCCATCAAATGGGGTAAAATCCACTTAATAAATGTCTTGCTTAGCGATGAAAATTTTGGGTTGAATTGTGGTCATAACTCAAAGATTACCTATAGGGCAGTGGTGGCGATCCTATGGCATGCGTGCCAGAGGCGGCACTCAGAGTCCTCTCAGTGGGCATGTGCGCCATCCCCCAGCCCCGCCTCCCATTGCAACCCCTCCCCAGCAGCCCCCCGGAGGAGAGTCGCCCCCAGGCGTGACCCATGTGGAGCAGTGCAGCCAAGGACATGGCAGCTAGACAAGACTCTGCCCTCGTGCCCCATTGCACGCAGTTGATGCTGTGGGGCGTGGGCAGAGGGTGTGACTGCCATGGCGCTGCAGGACCACCTGGGTGATCTGCAGGCTGTGGAGGCGGTGGCTGGCCCTGACGGTGGGCGGGGTGGTGGGCGGGGCAGGGCAGCAGAGTGGGGGCTGGGCGGGGGTGGGGGCGGTTTTGGGGCACTCAGTCTCTAAAAGGCTCGTCATCACTGCTATAGGGTATGGTGATCAAGACATTGAACTGGCACAAGGGAAATGCAAGTTCTTGTTCCGATCCTAGCTATGAAAACTTACTGAGTGGCTTTGATCCTTTCTCTCTCAGATCAACCTTATTTCACACAGTTGATGTTGTGGTAGAAAATGGAGGAAGGAGAATGTGAACACCATATTGAGCTCCTGAAAGAAACTTCGAGATATATTTTAACAGTTTTTCTGCTATAAAAATACATCTTCTTCTGGTCAAAGAATGACCTGTACAAATTTTTATACAATCATAATTTCTAAAGTTTTTTTTTAAATATTACAGGGAGTCCACAAAATAGTAACAGATGGTTGTTTGTCAGTATCGCTGAGAATCAGTTCAGTAAATTCTTTATTATTATTTTTATTCTTCTTTCTTTTTTTTAGTATAGAATGGTGAAAGAAGCCCTCCACGAACGTGCCAACTTGCTTGAAATTGCTCCTCATTTATCTGCTCCTCTGCCTATAATGCTTCCAGTTTACAAGTAAGTTATTCAAAATTTATTCTCTTTTATTTGCTTGGCAGGTTATTGTTACAATTTAATCTGTGTCACTGTGTAGGAATTATAGTGCTTCCCCCCCCCATGGAGTATTTTTTATTTTGTTTTGTTTTGCTTTTGCTAGTGCCGAGCCTAATTTTTTACTTTGTAAGGACAAAATAGTGCCATTATTTTATAGAAGTGTAATGTGAAATCTTTTGGACCGTTGATTCCATTTGTTTTAATCTGGTATGGCAAATGCACAAAGAATCCTATTGGCATTTTACTGACAGATTGATTACAGTGGCAGAAACCTTTGATGTTGCTATACCATAACTGTGCTTGAATTAAATCTTGATTAGCCGTCTGAGAACTGAAACTTACGGGCATTTATATGCATCGGTGTTTATATGCATTTATTTATTTAAACGTTGAAACCATGTCTGCATCTCTGTGGTATAACAAGGGGAAAAAATGAGATGCAAATGTATGCATGCTGTTAATTTTCCTGACTTCTCAGATGCCTTGAGAAAGGAAAATACATAAGTAGCTTTTTTACTCTGGTTAGACAGACCAGTACTTTACCTTAAATTAGTCAGTAAGATGTGAAAAGAGAGTATCCCATTAATGTTCTTGAATAATAATAATAATTTATTAAACTTGAATTACGCCTGATTCTCAATTATTCTGGACAATCAAAGAATTTACAATAAAATCAATAAAACATAAAAAATATAGATAAGCGCATAAATGTATGCTGTTTAGGACTTACATCAAGGATGCATCTGAGGAGATGTTGCAGCAGTGTTTTGGCTGTGGAATTCTGGGAGTTGAAGTCCACATGCCTTAAAATTGTCAAGGTTGAGAAACACTGTGTTACAGGAAGAGAATAGTTAAGTGTTTTGTAACTTACCTATTTGAATTTTGATCTTTAGAGAGGTACCGGGGGAGAGACGTTAGCCTGAGCTGATATCTTATCCAGGGTCTCTAAAAGACTTTCTAAACCAAGTGACATTTTGAGACTTAGTTTCACACATCCCACCACAATGACTCAGAAAGAATAATATTAAGCAGTGGAAACATCAAGGATTGGAGAGAGAAGTCCTCAAACCTAAATAAACATACTGTGCTCAGATGATGTGGTGTTATGTATCCAAGAAAAATATGGGTGATGCTACAGCACTTCCAGAACATGTCTTACAAGTACAATTCTGGTACATTGTACTTTCCATGTCTCAGTGTAAAAGTATACGAGCTTGCTCCATCGTTTCAGACGCCTTACAAGAAAGGGAATTTTGAAGCACCATCCAAGTCATTTAAGTAAGATTTCTTGTTATGTAAGAAACTTCAGATGCCCGTAGGCTGCTTAGTTATGTGCTGTTGTTAGAAACTTGTTAACTAAACATTAAAAATAAGTATGCAAAACATTAGTCATTGCTCACTTTTGCTCAAGCATGCACAATTTCTATTGCCTTAAGAGCTGCAGCTGGCTTTATGTTACATATCAAACACTTTATTCCAAAAATTGGTCAAGGCCAGGTCAAATATTGAAGTGGGGGTTTAAGTCTGATGAAATCTCTTAAGTGCCTGCAAAGTTTAAGGCAGTGTTTCTCAACCTTGACAATTTTAAGGCATGTGGACTTCAACTCCCAGAATTCCACAGCCAGCATTGCTGGCTGTGGAATTCTGGGAGTTGAAGTCCACATGCCTTAAAATTGTCAAGGTTGAGAAACACTGGTTTAAGGCATTCATTTTGTCCTCTGGAACTCTCTAAACTTCTTAGTCTTTTTTTTTTTAAACACTAAAGAAATCCCCTGTGATCTTTGGAACAGGTTTTCCACACATATCCAGATCTATTCTGATTTTTCTAAATTCTGTTTGAGTGTTTAGATTTGTTCTAAAAGAATTTCCATTGCAAAAAAAGATTTGTTTTACATGCTTATGTATTTATTTGTCTTTTTTTTTTTTTTAGGTGGTGGCAACTGCCTTATTACTGGGTGGGAATTAAGATGTATGACCTTGTAGCAGGAAGCCAATGTCTGAAAAGCAGCTATGTGCTTAGCAAATCCAGAGCTTTGGAACTCTTTCCTATGTTACAGAAGGACAGACTCGTGGGTGCCATAGTCTACTATGATGGTATGTCCTCTCCTTTCTTGCCAGTGTTAAAAGCAGAAGCTTTGATCCCAGTTGTGAATCTTGAGCCCATTCTATCACTAGCTATATTCCAGAGGCACTGTACAGCCCTTGAGTTCATGCATTTCTCCCTTTGCACCACCCTGCAAGAATCTTTAAGTACCAACTGCTTTTTTCACCCGCTGCACTGTTTAGCTAATCAGTTAGAAAAAGTTGTCTTAATTACAGTTAACTTTCATTAAGCCATGCTAGCACAGTATTGCAGGCTAATTCTGCCCACTGCCAGGAGTTCGATCCTGACCGGCTCAAAGTGGACTCAGCCTTCCGAGATCGGTAAAATGAGGACCCAGATTGTTGGGGACGATATGCTGACTCTGTAAATAGCTTAGAGAGCGCTGTAAAGCAGGGGTCCCCAACTCCCAGTCCGTGGACCAGTACTGGGCCACGGCATGCCAGCAACCAGTCTGCACAAACAAGCAAAGCCCCATCCGTGGGATGCAGGCAGCACAAAAAAACTCCAGTCCACGGAAAAACCTCTCCATGGAACCGGTTCCTAGTGCTCAAAAGGTTGGGGACCTCTGCTGTAAAGCACTGTGAAGTGGTATATAAATGCTGTTGCTATTGCTGTTTTAGCTCTTTTCCTCTGCCTAGCAGATTTTCTCCCAACAACAGAATACTATGGCAGAGAAGATTCATTGTTGTTTCTCTTTCACATAGCAAGTGAAGCACACCCATCTTGCGTCCCTTCCTTCAGGCTGAAAAAAAGATATAGATACTAGATTAGTCTTGTCCCCTTTTGCTTTCAATGTCTATTTGTGTGAAAATTCCTGAGAACATGCCAGAACTAGTTCTGGAAAGATATTCATGTCTTTGGGTCCGGTAGATCTGTTCTTTCCTCGTTATATTGTCTCTAAATTAACTTCTCTGTGGCTGGTGGATAAACAAGGCATTATCGTACATGGGAGCGTGCCAAAGAACTTACTTTGTAAAATCTGTGTTTAGTTCCATTATTCACTGAGGTTTCCAGATGTCTCTTTTAGTCTGCCAGTAGAATGCTCCACCTACTGGTGGCTTTTGTGACTCAAAAAACCCATTTCATTCTTCCCTTGGATTTTTCCAAATGAAAGTTGATTTTTCATTTGCTTCTGTATGGATGTTGCTATTTCATCAAAATATGTTGCTGCACGCATAATGATCTTTTATATTTTTTTATATTAGATATTTCTCCAATTCTGCTTTTGATAAACTTTTTGTAGGCATACGGATAAATACATGAATTGGGGATGAAATATACTAGCAAATTAGTCCATTTACTTTTTGCGAAGGGGGAAGAAGAAAATTAAATTTATATAGCTTGAGCAAATTTAGGTTGGGGATAATGAGGAATCACCTCAGGCCAAAAGGACCATACTACAATAATACTGATGGGATCTGAATGTTCTGTTGAATATGTGCTTGCTATGTATCGTAGTTTTCTAGGAGTGCAGTTTTATTACTGATTGTAAGTTTATTTCTTTGCCTGATAAGTCTTGAGAAGGAGTGGCTGAAGAGGTTAGTTTTTGTTCTAAACTGGATTATATCTTATAAAACATCCCTTCTACAGTCTAGGGCATAAAATAAAATGTTATATGCACAAAAACATGGAAGTGAGTCTGCATACATTTTAATAAAGTAACAGAGAAGTCAGCCTACCAAACCGTACTTTCTCCGAAAATTACTAGAAGCCAAGAAACTCAGTTCTGAGATTGTGGAATGCAACTAGTTACACAGCAGGATGCCCATTTAGTGACATTTTTATTGCTCCCTGTCTAAAGGCCAGCCTTAACTGTGACTTTTTTTTTTTTGTCCTTATGTTAGATGGATACAGTTTTCTGTTCTTTTTTATAAGATGATTTATAGGTTTATTTTGTCTGTTGAGATAAGAGTGTCTTAACATGCACATTTTTTAGAAATGTTTTTTTCTACCAACCTCCAGTCCTGACCAATAAACCAGATTTGCATTTTCAGAATGTCTTTCATGAACAAATGCTACACAGATATTCAAGTACGAAACTTGAACTTCAGTATCCATCAAGATGCCTTTTGCTACCTTCTACTAGTGCTTCTCTGTCATTCATTTTGAAGAAGCTTTAGAATGGTGCGTGCTAATTATGGGACCCATGTGGATTGCTTTTGCAGTGAAAAAGCTACACAAGGATTTTTTTGCGAACAAAAAACCTGGAATTTAAATTTGTCCTTTTTATTTCTTTATTTTTTTACTTGTACATCTATACAATTAAACAATTTTTAAAGTTGAAAGAAAAACTTTTTAAAAATAGAAAGGAGACAATTCCAAACTTAAAATAAAAAATCATACAGAAAAGAAAAAAAACTATCTTATATTTTATAATCAATAGTTCTGAGTATGCTACCGTAGACTGTTCTTCCACATGCTAAATTTACTTGAATTGAGTGATCCTAAATATAAATTCTAAACTGAATTGATCTTCTGGTAGATTGCATGGTATTTTGTCTTTTCACATAGATACAGTCTGTTGTGTTTCACCCACATTCTGCTAGAGAAGCAGTCAGGTGATCCCCTAGACCAGTGTTTCCCAAACTTGACAATTTTAAGGCATGTGGACTTCAACTCCCAGAATTCCACAGCCAGCATTGCTGGCTGTGGAATTCTGGGAGTTGAAGTCCTCATGCCTTAAAATTGTCAAGTTTGGGAAACACTGCCCTAGACTAGAGCAGAGATGGGCAATTAATTTTCCCAAGAGACCACATGAGAAACTGGGACTGTTGTGGAGGGCCGAACCAATAGGGCTGTGAAGATTTGTAGATATGCACATATGCCCATACTTAAGTTGGAAAAAAAAAATAGCAGTTGCCTTCAAAATAAAAGCAATCCATGTGGGCTGGACAGAGACAGCCAAAGGGCTATAAAAGCCCAGCTCTGCACTAGAGAGTGGGAAGGGCCCTACATTTTTCTGGAATAATGCTAAATCTGCATCCAAAAGAATCTTTCAACTGATAGGGAGGACTAGCCACCTAGCAAATCATGCCCCCTCTCCCAGTCCTATCCGAGCCCAAGGAGAAAGACTAGTGGATGGTCTCCTAACAGCTGATGAATTTGTGAGAGTGAAGCAAAGCTGAGCTGGGATATACAAAACCCTATTTTTAATTTGTTCTGGATAATTGACAACGTGCCTTTGGCAGGACAAGGATTGGTGGTGGATCTGCCACATTTTAAAACCAGTGTTCTTTCTGCTGGCCCAAGGACTAGTATACAGAATTTTAATTCTCTGGTGAAGAAGTGCCCTTAATGTGTTTTTCACTTTGTGCTCTACCTTACATCTCATTTCTCAAGGAAATGTATGAAGTCAGACACCTGAAAAATTCTGGTATTGTTTCTTGTTTTTTTAGGCTTTTCCTAAGAAACCGCAAGTTTACTATAGCGAGCAAATAAAAGTCTATATTGAGATTCATTTTTAATCAAATAGTTAAAGGCTCAGTACTGCTAAATTTAGCTGATTTGCAAGTAGAGAAGGATAGAGGAGAGCAAAAAATTTAAAGGTTTGGTGTTCGGTTTCTTAAACTTCAGAGCTTCAGAAAAGTTTAAAGACAGAAGTATAGTCAAGACATGCTTTCTTGGTAAAGTAATATAACCACCAATATTGGGGAAAGAAACGTAACTCACTCTAAAGGTCCCAAGTTCAGTCCTTGGCATTTCCAGCAGAAAGAATCTTAGCTAGTAGTCCATTTTTTTTTAATTACATTCCCGTTTTCAAAAAGCTCTGTGCCACGTCCAGTAACAGGGTAAATAGAAGTGATCCTGGATTCATGAAGTGGAAAATATATATTAGTCTAGCACAGCTGAATATGGTAGGCAATTGAACAAAGCTGAATCCGGCAGGCAGTTTATTATTGCAAAAATGCTTCCTGCCCCATTTCACTTCCTTTCCCAGTTATTCCTGGAGGCCAACTATTAGTATAATTCTTGTAGGATATTCTTTTTGATGCCATATTCTTAATTTCTGCTTAATGGCACATACCATTCATCGCATAAGCCACATCCAGTGCAAGCCTTCTATCAGTTCTGATAAACTGAAAATTCTCGAGCTTAAAATATAGGACCACTTGCTATGCAGATACATTAACAAAAATTTGCCCATATCTTTTTTAGAAATGTAATATAAAATCTTCCCCAGAAAGCAAAAGACAAAACAGAACTTCACATTTCAATAAATTCATCTTTAGATAACCTTTCATCTTTAAGTCATCCATTGATTGGATCCTGGGAAATCTTGTTTTTTAGTTAGATTTAAGTTCATTCCAACATGGCCTTTGGGAGAAAAACAGTCTCGTTCAATCTGGTTGATAAATCCAATTGGAGTTTGGAAGAGATGGAAAGTTAGTTTTCTTGGACCTTTAAGTGGTAATGAACTGTCTGTTTAGAGTAGAATTGGGAATTAGGAGGTTCAAAACAGCTCCATTCCTTTTTGGAGGGAAAGATGTGGGATTCTCAGGGCCATTAAATTACAATACCAGGTAACTTTTCCAAGTACTTTTTAATGTTTGTGGAAATCATTAAGAAAAAAACTTACAGTGATTTTGGCTAAAAGGTACTCAGGAAATGTATGATACACAATCCTTCCTTCCTTCCTTCCTTCCTTCCTTCCTTCCTTCCTTCCTTCCTTCCTTCCTTCCTTCCTTCCTTCCTTCCTTCCTTCCTTCCTTCCTTCCTTCCTTCCTTCCCTAGGAAAACTGCAGTTTTAGAATAGTTTAAAGGCAAATAAGTAAAGCCTTGTGGGTTGACAAGACCACCATTTTTGATGCAAGCTTTCACATAATATAAATTTTAACTTTTCACATAATGTAAATCTTACCCACAGAAGATGGTTTTGGCCCAGTGCTACATAATTTCTGATCTCTGAGCATGAAGATGGTGCTTTCAATTTGTATATAATGATGAAATGCCATTTTTCTCCTGTATACTCCTTTGATCTTTTTGAAGAAAC